TTTTTTTTTTTTTTTTTTTTTTTTTTTTTTTTTTTTTTTTTTTTTTTTTTTTTTTTTTTTTTTTTTTTTTGTTGAACATTTTGACTTGTAGAGCTTTCTTGGTTAAATTCTCTCCTTGTGTTAGTAGCTAATTTCACTCCTGTTATTTCCCATTGAAAGTGTATGTTGTAAACACCTTTGCCACATAGGTTGCCCTCTTTTGTAATTCCATCTTATCAACGAAATGAAGGAATCATAGTTTCAGATAATAATAATAACAGTAATAATGTGTTCGTAACTAACAGAGAATTCCTGGAAATTTTCTTTCCTCTAAATTGCATTCGTTTCCTGCATATAGATGAAGTACATATACCATCAATTACAAATATGTGCTTGACCCTGCCTGTTATTGGATTTTGCAAAATTCAATTACCTTATTATTTCTGAATCTCTACAGCACTTCATGACTTTTGGAACTAAATAGGGTTCTTTTGATTCTCAGGCGGTCTCTTTTTCAAACTTATATGCACCTAAGCATTTAATAACTAATGTCAAGGATGCAGAAAAGTGGGAGAGTTTCATTCAGAATGCAGGTATCTGCTGAGAGTTGTTTTCAGTTTGTTCAAGTTTGTGCTCAACACTTCACTACCTTTTATACTACTATAACTAAGGGTTTTCTATATATTATTATAACTTTTTTAAATAAAGAAACTGCTGACTCTTTCATCATTAAAAATAAATATTATGGAGTTACACCAGAGTCGAGAGAGATCTCCATCCAGTTATAACCATTGAGTGATAACAGTTACAAAAGAATTTGGTAGGTTACTAGAGTAACTCTGTGAATGATCATAGTAACGATTATCAAACACAAATTCAGTTCAACTGTTCCCCTGGAGTTTAAACCCTCGCAAGTAGGCATTGCCAGCTTCTCCCTGTTTCTTGTCATTGGTTAATTGTTATTGTTAGCTTGGGCAGTTTTTAACAATATGAACTTTGTTTTTATCTTGCAGGTTCTGTCTTCTTAGGGCCATGGACCCCAGAAAGCGTAGGAGATTATGCAAGTGGGACAAATCATGTTCTTCCAACCTATGGTTATGCACGGATGTATGGTGGAGTTTCACTTGACTCGTTTTTAACATACATGACTGTACAGTCTTTGACAGAGGAAGGTTTGAGAAAACTTGGTTCGTACGTCAAAAAAATGGCCATAAAAGAGCTGTAACTCTTAGATTGAAGGATATTGAAGCCAGGCAGATCTCAACTTCAAGGTGATTGTCTAGATACCTTATTATGTAGTACCTACTTATGGAAAATTCGAATTTTAGATTTTGACTATTCATCATGGAACCGTAACTACTTTTTTGGTTGCTCTGGTTGTTATAAGATAACACAAACCTGGAAACAGATATGAGATTAATTATTCTTGAACCTTGAGATGCATTGAGGGAATAAACACCATTAGAAGGAAACAACTTTTACAGCATTTATCTTTACATCCAGTGCTTTCCAAATTCCAACCGTTGGAGAGGTTTCGATATGTTAAAAAGCACTTGATATGGTTGATACCATATCACCTGGTAACTACCATCACTTTTCCTGTCTTTTTCTTTAAGAAACGAGCACATTGATATAAGGTTACAATAAAGGAGTAGAAAAGGCACGCAAAAAGCCCAAGGAATTTTGGAACTAAATGGCAGAAAGCGTATTAGCATCTTGAACCCTCTCATCCCTCTCCTGATTCTTTTTTAAACACCCTACCTGTTACATCATGAACCACTTCCACATTCTGCTACTATTATGGGAACCTAATAGGAGATTCACTTGAACTGAAAATGATATTTCTTTCAGGAAAATTCAATGCATGTACTGCATATTACAAACAAGCAGACGTAAATGATTCTGTAGAACAATATCATGTATCAGCTCTTCTGACATTCTGATTTTTAGATTTCTGATCTAGAACTTAGTTTGAAGGTAGCCGATAACATTTTTATTGATTTGAAAAGACTTCTCTAGAATGTCACTGGAAATATTTGGAGTAGAACCAAATACTGCATTTGCAACCATAATAACTCCTGGATTTTGGCTGCTGAGAGCAGCAACAGCAACCGCATTGGTAGGACCTGGATTTCTCTGGTAGTGAACAAGACCAATAGGGAACACAAACACATCGCCCTTCTGCAACACTTTCCCTATATGTCGATTTTCAGGATACGATGTGATGAATCCTACTTCTAGGCTGCCTTCCAAGACAATCAATAGCTCAGAAGCTCGAGGGTGCGTGTGCAGAGGGTTGATGCCTCGTGGTGCATAGTCTATTCTAATGATGGAGATGCCGAGAGTGTTGAGTCCAGGCATTTCTGATGGAGTTACTGGAGTCACATGACACCCCAGAGCATTTGATGTGTTAGCTGCAAGGTGAAGCCCGCCAAAGGAAAAGTCATCGGCAACAACATGCTTTGGGTCCTTGCAGGTTAGTCCATTTAGTAACACTGCAATCAATTTCTAACAGCATGAGATGCTTTAGTGATAAGTCCTAGTAGAATCATGGAAAAGGGTAGCATCTAAGAAACTTTATATTTTCTGAAAAAGATGACAGATAACTTAGAAAGAAAGCAAATCATGATTATCCTACACAAATGTGTTAAAGATGCAAGCATGAAGGAAAGAAAGACTAGTTATTAAAAGAAAGAGCACAAATGAGATGTATTAGCATAAATGAATATGATTACTCCCTTACATTGGTTGGCTATACCATAGAAATAGGCAACAAAATTGTAGCTAAGCTAGAGATTGCTGAAGATTTAGAAAATAATATGAGCATCTTCTCATTAGCAACTAAGATAAATTGTTAAAACTGCTAAGCATAGGACCCAAAACAAGCTGGAGAGATCAAACAATACCTGTACTTCCAGTATCTGCTACACAGAAATCTTGAATAGGGCTCTGGTCAGCTGCCAAAGCAATAAAGAAGGGTAGTGCTAGAAATGAAATAGCTAATATACAGGCATTACAGGCCATTAGAAACAAGGAAGATAATATGTCTAGAAGTTTATATTGGAAGAACAGGAACAAATGGCGATGTCGAGTCAAATTTACTGGATGTTTAAGTTTGTAGGAGAAGAAATAAAGAAGCTGAGGTATTTATAGGAAGAAGTTGAAAAATTGGGTGCAAAACGAATCATTGTTTAAGTTACAACCTACCATCTTAGGCTTTGAAAATCAGTCAGCAAAGGCTTTTTGGGGCCTCAAGGACCAAGCGTGAGGCTATTTCTGTGATGTTTTAGTTTGGACTTAGAGAAAAGGCATACAAATATATGAAGAAAATCTTTGGGGGTGACCCAATAATCTGATTTTAGTTGCCTTTGAGAAAGGAACAAAGTTATGGCTCTTTCCCATGCGCACTTACATGTAGGGAACAAGTGGACCACTCTCCCTTTAGGTATTCACAAATTATAATCATCTATGTCTGTCTGTATTCAATTTCTCATTTTTCTCATCCTTTTATGGTTGTCTTTTTGTGTTAATCTACTGCTGTTTGGAAATTGTTCCAAGAAGCTGTTTTTCTGCCTTTTTAAGTGTATTTGCAGTTTGTTTCTATTAATTTGATCTCGAGGGTGTTGGTATACGGGTCATGCTTGTGGAAGCTGTGTCAATCTGAACCTATCTCATTTGGTTGAAACGTATATCCTCGACCAAAAAGTTGGAAGTTTGAATTCAGACTTCCACAGGTTAAACTCAAAATATCGTTTATAGGAGTTGTTGAAGTTTTTTGTCGTTCGAATGATACCATGAGCAAATGATCATGCTTTAATATGGTAAACCATTCAATCATTGTTGGTAAAGAATTGGCTTGTAGAACAAGCTCATAAACAATCATTTAACTTATTGCATCATTGTAAAGTTAAAAAGTTGAAAGATTTGTTCGATATGGTTTGTGTTTATTACTTCTTTTTTCAAGTAAGAAAATAAGTTCCTTTAATAATCTCTTTCTTCTCATTTTCTAGTTTTTTAGAAACCCCATTTTATAAAATCTGGAATCAGTTTGGTCTGTGGTTCTGCAATATGATTATAATTTTTTTATTAAAAAAATTCAAATGATATATTGATTTATTAGGATTTGTTTTACAAATTTTTTTTAACAAAAATTATAATAAAAAAGGAAAAGTTTAAATTAATTATTTTTTAAAAAATAATAATAAACGAGAAAAAAAAATACTTTCAGGGAATTCGATCCCGGCAAATTCTCCGTAATTCCTATCTCGATCTCTGCAAAAATAAATAGGAAATTTTGTAGGGATGAGAAATGAAATAGGTGGTGGGGATGGAGATGGGAAGACTTCTCAAAATATTAGTATTTAAAAAAAATTATTAACCACTTGAAAAGTTATTTTAAATCATTATTATGTTATTTTAAATCATTATTATGAAATAATAGACCGTTGATCCAGTTTAATTACCATTTCAAAATGAACCAATAGATAAAAGTTTAATTACCATTTCAAATTTCAAAAGTTGAAAAAATAAATAAATAATAAATCTGAAATTATTATATGACAAATTTTCTACTACTTTTATATAAGTGGGACATTTTTACGTGAGAGATGAATAGTAAAAAAATAGTATAATTAATTAATTATTACTTGTCATATTTATTTAATTAATAATTAATTGATACTGTTATTATATTGTTAGGCTTAATAAATTTTAATTAATACCTTTATAATTAATATTTTAACTATTTAATAGAAATTTCTATTACCAATTTAATTATTTATTATTAGTATTTTGATTAACTTACACTTAATTCAATTTTTCTCTGGCTAATCTTAGTATCAGTATAATTTAATTAATATTGTAGTGTATAAATATTTATTTATCTTCACTTTAATTTATGGTTATTTTTATTCTACAACATGTGAGGATTCAAATATTTGAATTTCCCCTTTTACATAATTTATAATAGAATCATTAGTTTATTTCCTGCATATAATTAATTAAATTAAATTTCTATATAAAAAGAAAAAACCTATAAATCAAGACATTTAATTATTGAACACTCAATATCATACAATATCCAAATATAAATAGTCAAAATTTTCAATATTTAACACTTAGATCCATAATACAAAACCTGTAATCAAAATCAAAATCATTGTAAAAAAATTTAGAATGAAAAATGAATACAAAATGTATTGGAAGACAATGAGAGCTTCCAACTATGCTTTAACTCTTGTCTTTTCCTGAGTCGCGAGTGAGGCTGGAGAACGAGTCGGGCGAATTACTAGATTTAGTTGTTGCTTCTACTCTCTCAAGAGACCTCTCTCAGGATATGCCGACAAGACTGGAAGAGCTACTCGAATTACTAAATTTAGTTGTTGCTTCTACACTCTCGAGAGACCTTTCTCAGGATATGCCGATAAGATTGGAGGAGCTACTGATGACTATCCACTAATACAAATATGAATCATTCTAATTGAAGCAAAAAAGATAATATTATATCCAAAACCCAGCTCTGATTGCATTACATGGCCCTCACTCACTCCATAAGACAGCTCAAAACATGTAAAATTCTATGAACTGCTGGACAAAAGGAAACAGCACCATCATCATGATCATCACAAACTAAAGAATAAAATCAAGAACAGCAGCATTACAGTTTCAGACAAACCTGGGTTGCTGCAGGAGACGGTGGCTCAAGCAGGGGCTTCCTCTTCTTCAGCTTCGAACTCTTCGTCGGCAGTTGCATCCTGGTACTGCTGATACTCGGCGACCAGATCGTTCATGTTACTCTCAGCCTCGGTGAACTCCATTTCGTCCATTCCTTCACCGGTGTACCAATGCAAGAAGGCCTTGCGCCTGAACATGGCTGTGAACTGCTCACTAACCCTTCTGAACATCTCCTGAATTGAAGTCGAGTTACCGATGAAAGTCGACGCCATCTTCAGACCCTTGGGTGGGATGTCACACACGCTAGACTTCACGTTGTTGGGTATCCATTCGACAAAGTAAGATGAGTTCTTGTTTTGTACATTGATCATCTGCTCGTCTACTTCTTTAGTGCTCATCTTACCACGGAACATGGCTGAAGCGGTAAGGTACCGACCGTGTCGTGGATCGGCAGCGCACATCATGTTTTTGGCATCCCACATCTGCTGGGTTAACTCTGGCACTGTGAGGGATCGGTACTGCTGGGATCCTCTTGATGTTAATGGTGCAAAACCAACCATAAAGAAATGTAGACGAGGGAATGGAATAAGATTGACAGCAAGCTTTCGTAGATCAGAGTTCAATTGTCCAGGGAATCGTAGACAACAAGTAACACCACTCATGGTAGAAGAGATAAGGTGGTTCAGATCACCAACTATAATATGACAATTGAACGGTAAGAAAAAATCTGATCAATAAGTTAAAAGTTTATCTTATATTATACAATAAGAAAACTACTAAAAGATTGAACTTATTTGGAACTTGAATGATGATCGGGATTTGGAACTTGAAAACAATCATTTTTACGCTGACATGATGTCCAGTTCTCGCTTTCCTTTCCTTGTATAGGGTTACAAAATAAATCCAAATCCGATGAAGAATGCTTTTACTAAGACCTGAAGGAACTTTTGAAAGGCAACCAGCGAAGATGCACCAATATCCCTCTTTCTAGAATTATTGTTGAGACATGCTCCAAGAGAGTTAGCCCCGGCTATCAAGATCCCATAAAAGGTCACACCTGGTTACTATTCTAAATTGGAAAATATCGGGATTGCTTTTTTTTTACATGAATTGGAATCTTCCCTCAAACAAGGAGGTCTTGTCAGTGAAAAGCGGGGTAGGCTACTAATACCAAGTAAGTCAATTTCGGTATTGTCTAAATAACAATGAAGTATGAGAAAGCCTAGAAGAAAGTTTGAACTATTACTGCACGGAATAAGCTGTTATTTTCTCATAAGCAAATGTGGCAATTAGGTGGGACAGTGCGCTCTCTCTCTGAATTAAGCTTCGGTAATTGATTACATATTTTGATAGTACAGTCATGGAAAACGTATTATAATACCCATATCAGAACTTCAGATATTCAACACCATCCATTTTCAGCTTTTTATAAAAACAATGAGTATACAAAGGTCAATTTCTAGACTCAAATATGAGTTGAAGGACTTGGACACTTACATGTAGGAGTAGCAAGCTTGAGTGTTCGGAAGCAAATATCGTAGAGGGCTTCATTGTCAAGAACCATGCATTCATCAGCATTCTCGACAAGCTGATGAACAGACAAAGTGGCATTGTACGGTTCTACAACTGTGTCTGAAACCTTGGGAGAAGGAAATACAGAAAATGCCAACATCATGCGATCTGGGAACTCCTCCCTGATCTTTGAAATCAGAAGTGTTCCCATTCCAGAGCCAGTGCCTCCACCCAAAGAATGACAAACTTGGAATCCTGCACAAATAAGCACCAAAAAAGTAGCCAGCCTTAAACGCTGAAGTTTTAAAATGATGATTTTACTTAATTAGAACAGAGTTAATGGTACAAACAATCGGCACATATATACATTAAAAGAAAGATACAAGATCATTCACGGCATCAAAGTTCATAAAAACAACTCTATAGAATTACAAATTATGAAAAGGATGAATATAGGAAATTCTCCGGACCTGATAATCTTTTCAGTATGATCAGATCCAGAGAGAATAGTATCGAAAACAGAGTTAATACCATGGTTTCGTAAATTCCTTATAGTTAAATTCCGCGGGTATGGAAAACACGGTGAAATATATGATATCGTGATATCAGAAGCTCGACTGAACGCGTGTAGGCAACTAAAGAAAAGATTTACAGAAATTGAAACATTTCTCCAATTTTGAGAAGAAAGCTCAGTAAAAACAAACGAAAATTATCAGCCAGGAGATAAGATTCTTGAAACAAAATCCGAAACATCAAAGGCTAAAAGAATCTAATCCGTATGATACGAAGACAAAGGGTGGAATTACCAAAAAGAAATTAGCACCAGAACGATTCACAGTACTCAAACATAAAAATAAGTTACCACAAAAGGAACCAAATGAGAAAATTGCGCGCGAAATCGAAGATCAAGACCAACAGTTCTTGTTCGAAAAAATGAGATTACCTTGCAAGCAATCACAATTCTCAGCCTCCTTCCTAACAACATCGAGAACAGAATCGATTAGCTCAGCTCCTTCGGTGTAATGTCCCTTCGCCCAATTATTCCCAGCCCCAGACTGACCAAAAACGAAGTTGTCGGGACGGAAGATCTGGCCAAAGGTTCCGGATCTGACGGAATCCATGGTTCCAGGCTCGAGATCCATAAGAACGGCACGGGGAACATACCTACCACCACTAGCCTCATTGTAATAGACATTAATCCGCTCGAGTTGAAGCTCAGAATCGCCGCTGTATTTTCCGGTGTGGTCAATGCCATGTTCGTCGCAAATGACCTCCCAGAACTTCGCACCGATCTGATTACCACATTGGCCGCCCTGAATGTGGAGGATTTCTCTCATATTTTTCCCGGGAAACAAACGGAAAACTTGAGATCGACGGCGGGAAAATTGGGGGAATCGAAAATCGAGAGAGAGAAAGTGGGGACGGGATTTGTTACTTAACCAATGGAATCTAGAGGATGGAGGAATAAACAGGGATGTCGGGAGTATTTATACTTACTTGCTTCTTGTGCAAATATGTTAAATTTGAAGGGCTTTCTTGCAAATAAACTTTTATTTATTTATTCTTTTTTTTAATTCCAAAAAAGGAAAAGCTAAATCAAACCCAATATTCTCTCTCAAGTCTCAACCCTTCATTTTTCTCTCTCTCTCTCTCTACTTTTATTTTCTAAAAAAATTAATTAAATAAATTGGCAATTAATTTATGTTCTCATTTTTTCTAATTATAAAAATAAAATTAGCTTATTTTGTGTTTTTACTTATTTTTTTAAGTAATTCTTTCGTTTTTTTTTTCACTATTACCGTAGGTATGCATTTTTTCTATAATGTCAACTTTTCCCAACTTTTCCCTACTTGATAGTTCTATGCTGTAAGCCGTTGTTATTGTCTTTTTGCTTGCATCACATATAACACTAATTTCAATCTTTCAAATCTTACTTTCAAAACTCTCTGCCCCCGTTTTCTAAAACTTTCTTCTTGAACCGGGGCCAGAGGCTCAAGCATATGTCTCTTGGCCGTAGTCAACGCAATAACGAATTGACTTAACTCACTTGTTGCTGGATATCCTTATTATTCACCTTCCCAATTATTAAAAAAAAATTATAACTTTATCTCTAAATTAATGGATATAGAATGAGAATAAAAAATGTAAATTCACTTCATTCTCGTGTTTATCAAAATTAAATACGATAGTAAAATGTGGGGCTCACTCTAAATTTGACAATCTCATTCTCGTTTATTTTTTGTCTGGTTTGGTCCTCGTCCAGCTCCTCGCTTTTTTAGATGATGTGAAAATTGGTCCCCCTTTTACACTATTATTGATAAAATGGATCTCCCTACCTTTTTAAGCATAACTTTGGTATTAAATTTTTTTTAGTATAAAAATTTGAGTATGTAAATAAATTTTTTAAAAAGAGATAATTTTAATTTGGTAGAATGTTAATTAGTTTAATTGATTATAAATATAAACTAATGGTCTAATCATCATTTATTTCCATTCCAATTTAAAAGCTAATTTAACCATTATTAGTTCAAACATCTCTATTATATTTAAAATAATAATTGAATCAAAGTGTGGCAAAAATTGCAACTAACAAAAGAATCATGATATTTTTTAATTATAGGTATTTTTATTTGTGTGTACAAATAAATTCAATAATTTAAAGGTGGAAAAAGAAATAAAAGGAAAATAAAAGGGGTTTTTATAAATTATTTTTTAAAATATTTTGTGGTAGACAGTGAGTTGTAATGGAAAAAGACGTGTGATCTGAATTCCAAAAAAAAGTTATAAAAAATTAAAGAAACAAGAAAATAAAAGAAATTTTAACTGGATTTTGCTCATCTGTTAAGTCAGCTACATTGCACAATATTTAACAAAATAATAATAATAATATTCTAAAATTTTCAAGGAAAAATATCCTAAAACTTGCGAAAAAAAAAATTAATAATAATAATAATAAATAAATAAATAAATAAATAATAATAATAATAATAATAATAATAATACAGTTAATTTTTTTATTTTTTTTTTATAGAAATAGTTAATATTTTTTATTTCAAAAATACTCTCCAACTTTACCTTTCAAAAATATTTAAATATATATATATATATATATATATATATTCTAAAACTTAAAAAAAATTCAAAATATTATTACTTTTTTTTTATGTATATATATATATATAGAATGGTTAATATTAGTATTTAAACTTTTTAAAGTGTTTCAAAAATACTTTTGAGTTTTCAGGGATGTTTTCGCGAAGTTCTAGTTGGGTCTTGGACATGGTCAATCAGGATCGAGACCTAATTAATTAACCTTAGGCCTACTCCAACCTCGAACCTTTATTTCTTGACCTTCTTTCGGCCTCCAACCTATTTGGATAGGTCCAAGTGTTGTTACAATTATAGGGTTGTAATTATCCATCCTATTGACCCATTTGGGGAAAAGTAAATTTGAATAAAAAGGCCATGCCTGTTTGTACATGGAATTGTTCACCATCAAGACCAGCCTAAGATTTATTCATGCATCTAGTAGTACACTCCTCGATTGGTTAGAATAAATAAAGCAACAGAAGTTTTGTTGATATGCAGGATGATTAGGGGCTAGGGCAGACCAGCAGAGGGGTTGACTCTCAAACCTAGCTTTCTTCAAAACTCTTCAAGTTCTTTCCTATCATTAGGCTTCTTTTTGAAGCTATGACCCACCAAATATTGGAGAAGACGTTTTGGGGTTGTGAGATCCTATGTCGGTTGGAGAGGGGAATAAAGCATTCTTTATAAGGGTGTGAAAACCTCTCCCTAGCAATCGCGTTTTAAAAACTATGAGGGGAAGTCTAAAAGGAAAAGCCCGAAGAGGACAATATCTGCTAGTGGTGAGCTTGAGCCGTTATAGGGACCCACAACAAGCGAGCAAGAGTTTCACCAACTTCTTGAAGAAAATGAAATGTTTGGATTCATCTTCTAAACTTTATCAGTCTACTCTTGAATCAAATGTAACTTCATATACTCTAGAGTAGAGATTCATACCAAGAAGGGAAATATTTGGGCTCATCATCATCATCTTCTGCTGCAAAATTCCAGGTCTTTGTCTCAATTGCTCCCTAAAGGAACTTTCTTGGTTGTTGAAGACTATTGTCTCTCTCAAGCTTCCACCATTGGGAAGTAGACAGCTACCCCACCAAACTGAGTGGGAAGAATTGTTCAATGATCAGTCGAAAGTAAAGGACGGTGAAAAAGAAACTATCACTTCAAAAAAAAATTTAAGAAAGAAACATAAAACTTTTATCAAGCGTGCACCTTTTAAATGACCAATTGTGCTTCTCCACTATTCATGCGAAGGAAGCAACCCCCCTAGAGAAAAAAATATATATTTGGCACAATCAGAATTCAGAAGAACTATGTTGGTAAAGCAAAAATCAGAGTCAACTAACTTAAATACATCAATTAGGAGAACATTAACTATAGCATTGGAGATTGAACTGGGAAGATTACGGGATGTAGATTCTGTAGGATCTAACCTTCTATCATTCGACAGATTCAGATTCTGAGAGCTTAGATGACAAAGGCAAATTGTTGGACTCGAAAACGTTTCATATCTGCGAACCATGAGCATCCAATCTGCAGCCAGACATGGTTTTCAATCTCTTCAGACTGTTATATAGAGAATATAGGGTGAAAAGATAAGACGAGAAAGTCCTGAACAAGTGGCTTCTGTTCCTAAAGTTTCTCGGGTTAGAGATTAAAACCTTGCCGAGTCGTTGAAGATAATCATGGTTGGTCGTCACTCCCTGCTGTTCATGCCAAGTTCAGGAAATCACCCGCCTCCATTGAGTTAAAAAATTAAAATAAGTTCTACAAAAATCATAATAAAGAAGAGAGAAAGAAAGAAACCTTCAGGGACAAATATATTTCAGCAGATATTGCATAATTTTCAAATGCCGAATTAAAAGAAAAAACTGCACCTCAAAATTGGTCAAGTTAAATACCTTTAACAAACTCCTAATTATATAACACAACAACATTACCATATCATATACCCAAAAGCATTCAGTTTACAAGTGAGTAAAAAATTAAGACGTTTCTAAGAAAGGTTCGTTTTAGTTGTGCGTTAAGATTCAAATATCAAATAAGTATTATACGACACATGTTAAGTCAGTTCCAGTTGCTGAACTCATCTGGCGTTTATAACAAGCTACCCCATAAGCATATGGCTTTTTTTAATGTTGTAAATCCACCTAATTTTCTTCTCTTGAGAAAAAGGTGTTAACTGTTAAGTCCAGATGATTACAGGATATTCAAGTAGTCCTATCGATTAAAATGGCTAAAGGTAACAACTTCTCATTCAACAGTAGAAAACAAAAGGTCCTAATCATGTAAAGAGATTTGAATCATTTGACGTAGGTCGATCATTACTCCAACTGGGCACACTTAATGCCGTAAACCAAATTTGTTATTTCAAAAGCTGGATATATGTTCATAAGTAAGGAAAGTTACAAGTAAAACAACTTAACCGTCTTTGCACCTACTGTCAAAGAAAAAGGGAAAAAATGAACTGCCATAACACAGGTTGAATCTCTTATTGCATAAAGATCAGAAACCGACAGCAGTAATCAATAGTCAAAATATAAAATGTTCGACAAGGATGAAGGCTTCAGCAGTTATACCTTTTTAGTGTTGGAGAGAATGTTAGAATAAACTCCGAAAATCGCAACTGTACCGTCATTTTGAAAATTTGGACTTCCTTCTACATACAAACTCAGCCCACAGAAGCAGCCACATTAGTATATTCTTAGGAGCAGGATGTATCACCAAATAGATAATATTCTAGATGACCATTCAATAATTTATGGTGTTCTTCAGAAATATTCACAGCTTTGAGGCGTTTATAAACCAATGTTTAACAACCCAGTTTGTCAGGCAATAATCCCAAACCCTTCATCTCAACTAATAAATGGCTGACAGGATAAAAGTTGTATGATGAACTATAAATGGCATTGCATAACCTAAAGAAATTATTCCAGCTAATTTCTATTCCCAAATCAATCATTTCTTGTAGCATCTGTTTCACTGATTCAAAATCTTTTTCTTTGCAGAAACTGGAGAGCATTACATTGCACATATCCCCATTTGGATTTATACCAGCTTCCTTCATGTAGTTATATAATTTACAAGCCTCTGTACCTCTACCAACCATAAGGAGCCCACGAATGGCAACAGAATATGATACAGCATCTAAAGAACTTTTCTCCAATAATTTTTTTCTGAATACTCTAATGGCTGAATGACATTTACCAGCTTTTATAAGTCCATTTATAATTACAGTGTGAATATGAGCATCAACTCCCGTATAGTTCAAGAGAATACCATTGTACAGATTAACTGCTTCATCAATTCTTTTTGCTTGACAAAGACCAGTTAGTACTCCAAGAACACTATACTTATCTGGCATTAAACCTTTATCCAACATCTCATCATATAGTTCTAAGGCAAGCGAAGGAAATCCAGCCTTGCCGAGATAACTAAGCAGAGAGTTACATGCCACCAAGTCAACTTCTACAAAAAATCCATCAACTAACTTGGGTAGAAGGAAAACCCTTTTGGATAAACATATGGTATTCAACAATGAACTGAAGGTATAACAGTCGGGCAGTATATTTTGTTTATCCATACTAAGGAAAATACAGAGAGCTTCATCGTATCTCCCAATCTTAGCAAGACCATCAATCAATACATTGTAAAGAACCCGATCGGGGGAAAGCCCTTCCAATTCAATAATACTTAAAACATCAAATGCATCACTAACCAGTTGTGCATCCATATATCCCTTAATCAGAGTAGTATATGTCACGATGTTCGGAGAACAGCCAGATATTTCCATCTTCTTCACTAAAGAAGAAGCATCAGCAGTTCTGTGCAATCGACGGAATCCATCAATCATTATAGTCCAAATGTTTACAGACATGGATATTCCAATAGTTGTCATTATACCCAAAACTTGATATGCTTCTACCAGCCTACCCAATTTGCATAAATCATTCAAAACCACTTCAAATGTCCCAGGATTAGGATAATACCCCATTCTCAACATACATCTAAAAGCATCTCTAATGCCTATCAAATCTCTTATTTTGGATAAATTACACAATACAATGTTAAATGTCAAGAAATTAGGTAGCAAGGTCTCTTTAAAGACCTCCAAAGCAACATCAGCACGTCCAACCTTGAACAACACATCCATAATCACATTACGTGCAAACGTGTTGGGTGTAAATCCACAGCGATCCATATGGTCAAATGCTTCAAAAACCAACTCGTACATTCCTCCACGCCAATAAATCCTCAAAAGAAGCAAAAACGTTTGTGCCTTAGTTACAATGCCAACACTCTCCAATGCCCCAAGAATCCCACTCACAGTTTCATATCGTTCCATGAGACGGGAAACCACACCCACCATGTATTCAAACGCCGTGGTGTTGTGGAAGAAATTGGGCTGTTTAGCACACCACATGAAAAAGCTCAAAGTGACTAAATCAGAAGAACAATTCAACAGAGTGGTGTGCACAAGCTCATTAGTGAGAATCACTTGCCTGTTCTCTGAAAATTTCTGCTCAATGTCTTGGTTTAGTTGGTTGTGGAGGTTTTTGGTTAAATTTATAAGTGGGGCCAAACATTTACGGTGCGGCTGATGAGCAAATGTTCTGAGGATTTGACGAGGTGCTATTCGGAAGATATTACAGCCATGTCCCCATATCATTGCCAAAGAAGTTCAACTTTCTTGAGTACCAACGCAACATGAGAAAACTGAGCTATGTTGATGGAAGCTCGAGAGCAGAAAAATTTACTCCTGCTTAGAACCCCTGAATTTCAAAAGATTTCAAATCAGACATATTTGGATGCAAAAAAAAAAAAAAAAAAAGCATAAACAAAAAGAAGAAGAGAAGTGAAATCAGATGCAATTTGAAATCTTGTTCTTTTCAAAAGAAAAAAAAAATCCGAACATTTCGCTAGGATTTTAAACTTCAAAAGAAAAAGTATTTTTCCAATTTCATCCCATAAGAGTTTTCTTTGTATACATTTAAATTTTCGCCTCCCTACGTCAGTTCATGAGCATGTCCATTGATAGTTTTTTCTATATTCATCTGGACTGGTTGAACAATGAATGAATAAGAAATCAAAAAAAAAAAAAAATCACGTTCTTCTCTGTAAATCAACAAAACAAAATAAATAAATAACCTTCGGTATCTGAAAAATGAGCGCCGATGCAGTTGAGTGTCGGCGCAATCTCACCAACGGCGTGGTTTAGGTGCTGAACCACTATTTATATTTCTGAGGATTAGAAAAGAACAACAACGATAAGTAACTCTGATCACACGGAGAGGCAATAGGGTGTAAGAAGGAGGGAGCGGCAGCGAGTTCATCGGGACGCTGAGACTGCAGCGAGCAGCGGCAGCGGGGGGAGGGGTTGCAGTGGCTGGTAATTGAACGGAAGGGGTTTGGCTGAAGATGAAATAGGGTTTAGAAAGAAGGTTTAGCTAGGAAGGTTAACCAAATTAATAAAGAAAAATTAATCGTCAACAATTAAGTGATTTAACTTTCAATCTTGGCTTAAAAAAAACATAATTAATCTGTTAATTTTATTAAAAATTAAAATGAAGCACGTAAACAAGGGGTGTACATTCAACCCGACAACCTGGACCAATTCAACCCGAACTATAAGGATTGGGTTGGGTTGGATAAACATTTTAGATAGGATTGGGTTGAACCCGAATGAAATCTGTTTCGGATTCGTGAGCAAAATATATTAAGAATTTTTTTTTGGGCAATTTGAAAATATTCACGCGTAATTTTATTTTTTAATTTTTTTATATTAAAAATCATTTTTATTATTTATTTAATTTCATGATCTATCCTTAAATTTGTGTTACTTTAACCGATTCTAAAAAAAATGTCGTTGTTTTTAATTTTATAACAACGTTCAACTGTTAATATGTTACAAGTTTTTTTATTACATTTATTATTTATTGTTGTTAATAATTATAAATTGAATTGAGTTTGTGGGTGAACTTTTAATATATTTTATATAAGATTGTATCCGAATAATTATTAAAAAAAAAAATTGACAACCAACCTGAGTTGGGTTGGGTTACCAATCCAACCCACCCGAACTTTTGGGATGGGTCAAAAAAATCTCCCAACCCGACTCAACTCGGACCATGTACACCCTAATTTTTGTAATACGACCCGACCCAAGGTGTTTATGTTAGTTTAAAAACATAAAGATGGTTTTAATACTTAATAAAAAATAATAAATATATTTAATATATAATATAATAAATATTAATTAAATATTTCAATTTTTTTCAACTAAATTATCCAAAATTTCAAAAATCGAGAAATTACAAGATCTCACGTTAAAAATTAATTAATTAATTTTTATTCATTAACTATATATTAATCTAATATAATCCTAGAGTTGTATTCCAATACATTATAAAACAAGTTTTGTCATGAATGTACTAATTACAAACGAGTACAAACAAGTTGGTTGTAGTTACAAACGGGTCACCGTCAAGTATCACCAACACTAATGAATAATTTATTTATGAGCAATTATAAATTAATTCTCGACGAGAAAGTGGACCCCATTGTTCAAGTCACGGTATCAACACTTGAACCACTTGTCTATTTATCCAATATACGAAGAAGTATATTGCATGTTGTGAATTTATGTTCCTAACTCACTGTCTTGTCGGGTCTCAAAAAAATGGTAGCCATATCAATTCAACAACATAAGTCATAATAAAGCAAAAGACACGTCTCTTAAAACAAGAGCTTATCACTCACTTGTGATTAAAATCGAGTCACATGTGATCGTCATGTCATATATATATATATATATTAATTAAATTAAATATTTCATGATTCAATCTTATGCCGATTCATTGTATCAATAGTGTTATTAAAATAAGACACTCAACTTTATCCATATGGTATAGACCATTTCGATTAAGATTCAAACATAATATTATTTTACGATAATCACCTTTTATTTAATAGTATACTAATAATCTTTGAATTTTCGCATAAAAAAAATCAAACTGTAAATAAAATAATTATTTACGACATTTTAGGGATAAATAGGAACAATATAAATCACAATTTTATGTCTAATTAAATTTATTCAATTAATTTGAATTAAATTGTATTTAATAGATTTCTCAATTTTAAAAAAATTCGAAACTATATAAACTAAAATTTTAATTTTAAAAACTTATGAACTAATTTTTTAATAAGAGAATTAATATCGTAAATGATGCAAGTCTGTATCCTCTTCGTGCCTAAGTGGGTTCTTCCAGTCTACGAAACTTGCTCTTAGGACAACACATTTATGTTAACGAGACACAATTAATTGTTGACAAGATCTTTCACAAATACAGACAAAAATTCATTCGTAATTTTTTATTTCACATCACATCTTAGACAAGATTCTAACGTGCAGTACAACTACGATAATGAAATTTGGCTTGAAGATCATCCTCCAACAAAAATAACTTAATCAACATGAATTAAATAAATACATAAATTAAATAAAATTTAATAAACATATAAATTATGTACGAATCAAATTTGTAAATATAGCTCAAATAATTTTGACTATTAATAATCCTATAAGCACAACTGGTCAAATCCTTCATTTACCTTATATAATAATAATAATAATAATAATAATAATACACCATATAAATTTATATATTTTTTCAGCAATAATAGAAACTCTATAATGATATATTTATTTTACGTATTTATTTCAATACAATTTTCAATATTTCACTTACAATTTTTAAAAAAATAATGAAAGGTCTAAGTTGTAAAAATAATTAAAATTTAAAACTATTGATACCTACTCCGCTATTTTTTAAAAATGTTTTTACTTTAATTAATTATATTTTTGTAGCCTTTTAAAATATAGGTAGCCTTTTCATTTCTAGATTGTTCGAAAATAATAATTTATTGAGTATAAAGTGAATTTTACTTTTATTATAATTTAAAATGAATTATGAATTATTAATTATTAAAGTTTAGGATAAACATGTATATATTAAAAAAAATAAAAAGAAAATTATATTATATATTAAATTTGGGAATGTTTTCGTGTAATTTTCTTTTTAAATTCGATAAAATAAATAAATTTCCATATATTTTTTTGTTGATCTTAAGTCGGTTATGTTAAATAAATTTTTTAAATATGGAAATGAAAATATTTTTTAATAAAAGAAATAAATATAATGGACACCGTGGTGCCAAAATATTAGATATGGATACCGATGATTCTCCATTTGAAAGAAAAGTCCAAATTTTCCTTATTGTCAGTAATTCGGTAAAGACAATTTCTTGAATTCTTTGCAGTCGCTGTTCTTCTTGCCGTTTCTTGCTCTACTGTTTTGGAATTTCTTTATCGATTTCTCGCCGATTCGTCGTTGAATTGCAATTCCTCTAGACGGAATTCCAATTTTCAGGTTTTTGTTGTTGAATCATGCCGCTTCTTCCATGGAAATCCACAAGGAGTTCTCGGATCTCTCAAATCGTTGCTGATCTTCAGTCGCCGAAGCGTGGTGGTTCGCTTGTTGTGGAGACTGGATTTCCGACCTCTCTTGTTGATCTATTCGTCAAGCATCGTGATCGATTGAGGAAGCCGTCGGCGAGAAGGAAGTCGAAGGATAAGAGATCGAAGAATGAATTTAGCGACTCAATCGTTCAACCGTCTTCTCAATCGCATCCTCCGGAAATCGATTGTTCTGACGCTGGAGGCGGTTGCGTCCAGCGCGAAAACCTAGAAATGGAGGATTTGAAAGTCTTGGATGAACCGCGAGAATGTCGCGATCGTGGATGTGAATTGGTGCGGAATCGGACTGAGACGTGCGTTGTCGGTGGCGATGCGGCGGGCAGGAACGGCGTCGTTTTGTTTGTGTTGAAAATGTTTGTGGTTGCGGTTGTGGTTTTGGCACTGAGTGCCAAGAAGCTTGTGGTTGGAACTACTCTCTCTGCTTTTCTACTTTTGCTTCTGGAATTTGTCGGTAAGCGTTCGGTTCGCTTCTTGAAACCGTGCACTCATGGCGAGACTGCTCTGAGATCCTTGATTCGAAAGGTATTGAAGCATCTCTGGATTGGAAAGGATGATCTAGTGATTCAAGAGTCGAGAAATTACGGAGGAGATTCCGTTCCGAAAGTTTCGCTCGATGCTTTTCCGAACGAATCGATTGACTCACCGGAGTTCAGTTCCTCAATCGAAGAAATCCGACTCGTGGAACCGGAGGTCGATGCCTGTGAAACACCTAGGGGAATTGAAGATGAAAAGAGCCGTCTCGGTTTTCTTGGAGATGAGAAGGAAAACAAAGATCGATTGGAAGTTCAAGTGTGCGAAAATGAACGTGGAACGCGAGGAAAACGCAACCGGAGTATGTTTAGGAAACTCGTACGAAAGAAATCAGTTAAGCAAGCGATCGAGAAGAAGAACAACACAGAGGAGAAGGAGTTCAGAAATGACAGATTGGACAAGGCGTCGATTGAAGAACAGGTAAATAAAGAAGACGATGAAAACCTAGAAGAAGAACAAGAACAAGAACAAGAACGCGATCTAGAAATCCGAACCATTTTTTGCGAAGAGGATCAAGATAGCAGAAAACCTCCTGATTTCGATGAGCAATGGCAGGCAATGGAAGTCAGAGAGTCGTGTGAAATTCAGGGAATAAAAAAGAAAGGAAGATTAAGTTACCTAATTCTGGTTCTGGTTGTTCTTGCTGGGCTGTTCGGAGGCCGGTTTCTGGCGGTGGTGCTGACGACCGCATGCTGTTTCATGATCAAATTGAAGGAATTTATATGGAGAATGTCTATGAATCCGCCATTGAAGACCAATTGCTAGAAACTGTGGTAAGAAAGAACGTCCTCATCTTTCATCTCTTCTGATACACAGATGGAGAAGGTCTCTGAATCCGCCATTGAAGACCCCAATTGCTAGAAAAATGTGGTAAGAAAGAACATCCTCATCTTTCATCTCTTCTGATACACAAATGGAGAAGGTCTCTGAATCCGCCATTGAAGATCAATTGCTAGAAAAATGTGGTAAGAAACAACATCCTCATCTTTCATCTCTTCTGAAACACAAATGTTGGTGTTTGTTAGCCCAAAATAGTTTAGTTCAAAATGGAAATGATTCCCCCATGGAATTTGAAAAATTCAACTGGGTTTTTTGTACCAAAATCTCCAAAATTACAAACAGTTTTTAGTACTCACTTCTCGATCAAATGCTCTATCTTTGGATGATACCCTTTTCACCCATCGTCTTTAACTTTGTGTTGAGATTAGGAGCATAGATTTTATGTTGGTGTCGTAAAAAAATATCTCCCATCTTCCACAAACTAAAATAATATTCTTAACCTAATCAGTTACTTATTTATTTTTAATGAAAATAGTTAATATTTTTGTTTAAAAATAGTAATCATTAAATTTTTAATAGTATTTCATTAATAACTTTCTAAGTTTAAAAATATATTTACCATTAATACCATTTTAAAAAAATGTTTATGAAATTTTAAGGGTAAAAAATAGTTTAACAGTACGAGTATTAAAGTAATTTTTGGAAACTAAATAATATATATATATTTTTTAAAGTTTTAAAAGTTTAATGAAATACTAAATAAAGTTAATTAACATTGTTTAAAAAGGTATTTTTTTAGATTTTTTAAATGTTATTATTGAATTTTTTTAAAAGTTTAATGAATATAATAATATTCAACATATTTTTTTGGAAAAAAAGAGCTTTTTTAATGGAAACATGAGATAAAAGCTTTTTCATTTTTAGAATTAAAAGGAGAATAAAAATTATTTTTTTAAAAAGAGAGGACTGCGAAATTTCAATATTAAATTTCAAACACGTAAATATTTTAAAGTACAAAAAAAACTTAAATTCATTATTTTATATATTGATAACCGTCATCTTACGGTGTAAACTTTCAAAAAACAACTTTAGAAATCGTAACAATTTAATCACTCCGTTAAAAATATCGTTACCTTGCCGTTTGTGTTCCTGATTTTTACTCCAGCAACCGGAAATCGTTGACCTGGCAGACACGACGCCATCAGACACGATTTTACCGGAAATTCCACAGGCGGAGGCTTCCGGTGCGTCGGGGTTCGCACTGTCATCATACGAATCTCGAGGTACGTCGGGGTTCGCAGCCAGGTCGCTGAAGACATCGCCGAATTTGATGGCTTCCTGTTGCTGCTCGTCGTCGTTCCGTCGAGCTGGCTTCTCCTAATTTATCCAACGCAGAATCAAAAGGTAGGGAGGTTTCTTTCTGCAACGGCGTGTGGATAGGTCTGTTGAAGAAGTGCCTAATTTGGTTCAAACCATCGATTTGGAAGGTAATTTCGTACCTAAAGATATCTCTCCAATGAGGTCAACAGTTTCCGGTCACCGGGATACGAACGGCGACGTTTACAGAGCTAAATTGGTACCATTTGCAGAGCAGAAGGATATTTGAGGATGGGTGTTAAGTCCTAGAGGTGTGTGCTAATGATAACAGACTGGCATCCTCAGATTCCACGACGCAAATCAGCTGGCCGTTTTCGTCGGATTCTTGTTCCAACGGACGGTCCAGATCTCTTCCCCTATTAAGGTAACTTTTCTGCTCCTTTTTGGGCCGTCCCATCACACACCGCTACTCATTCCAAAAAAAAAAAAAAAAAAAAGAAACGGAGTAGACTCCCTCACATTCCTTCCGCGGTGGCCACCGTCGCGGTGGTTTTCACTAGCTAGGAACATCGCCGCCGCCCCTTCTGCCGAACCCACATTTCCATTTTCCGGTTTGTGAATGTTTTCTCAAGTTTTTTTTGTTTTGTCTGCTTCTCTTAGCTCCGTATGGCTGTTCTTGTTGTTCTTGTTCTTGTTCTTGTTTGTAGATCATTGGTTCGAGGGATGTTTTCTTCTTTCGATTTTGATTTGTTTGTGGGGTGGCGCTTTAGAATCTTCTTGTTTTTCGTTTTCATTTTGAGTGGATTTTGGTGTTGGAGAATGGAGTTCATGTGGAAGTTCTTCAGATTTATGTTTGAATTCTGGGAAAACCTGAGATTTCCCCTGCTGGATTGATGTGGGTTTTCGTTTTCTTGGCTTAATTGTGTTCTTTTTCCCCTTTCTTGATTGAAATTTGAAAAGACAAAGGCAAGAAACTGAGACTGTGGCTTTTGATACTCAAATACGAAGAACAACAACAACATGGATGTAATAGAATAGACATTATCAGACTGCTGTTCTTCAGTGATATTAAATTGTACAATGTCTCAGTTTCAGCTACTCCATTTAATCGTATCTATTATCTGCTGCTAAATCCACACCAAGATGGTCGCTCATGGATTCACCGTCGATTTGAATAAGCCGCTCGTATTCCAGGTAACGTTACACTCGAACAAAAAAGACCTTTTGAATCAATCTGGTTCAGAATTTTGATAGAATTGACAATGAAACTTTCTGTGTCATAGATGTTTCTTAACTTGTCTGGTTGTGTAAAATGGTGTGCAAACTTTCTCCAATTATCTTTCTCAGGTAGGCCATCTTGGGGAAGATTATCAGGAATGGGTTCATCAGCCCATCGTCAGCAAAGAAGGGCCTCGATTTTTCAAGAGCGATTTCTGGGAGGTATTGAAGATCTTCAAATTCAAGAACTCGTCGAGATTAAGTCTAGATGATTAATAAAGTTTCTTTTTAACAAAACAGTTCTTGACTCGCACGGCGTGGTGGGCGATTCCTACCATTTGGCTACCGGTCGTTTGCTGGTTCATATCAATGTCTTACAGGATGGGCCATACTCCTTCAGAATTATCTTTGATGGTGGTATTTGGAATTTTTGTATGGACATTACTCGAATACACTCTTCATCGGTTTCTTTTCCATATCAAGACCTCGAGCTATTGGTTAGTAACCGAAACACTGCCTAGAAATGCTTGCAGACATAAATTTTTCGTGTTCTTCGAACATTCTTTTTTGTTTTCGTTTTCGTTTTCAAACCATTTTGGAACTGGATGATTAGGGGAAACACCATACACTATCTTCTTCATGGTTGCCACCACAAACACCCTATGGATAGCTTACGACTCGTTTTCCCTCCTGCTGCAACGGCTATTCTTCTCTTTCCAGTATGTCGATTTCTTTCAATTGTTCTTCAGTATGTTAAATGAGATTATGTTTGCAATGTTCATTGTTCAGCGTTTCCTTGTCGAAATTTACGCGGTTTGGCAAGTTTCTTTCGTTGTGATCCTAATTATTTGCTCATGACTTGCCAGTTCTGGAATTTGATCAAGCTTTTTGCTACCCCATCTACCACACCTGCTTTGGTTGGAGGTGGGTTGCTGGGCTATGTGATGTATGATGTTACCCATCACTACCTTCATCACGGGCAGCCATCTGGACAAATGGCACGAAACCTTAAGGTTAGTATGGAGTTTGCTTACGCTATACGTAAAATTTTATCGTCGTCTGGGAATTACGCGTGCTTTTATATGAGAACGCGTTATATGAGAATACCTTTCTCAAAATAGAGTAGAGGAGTCCTCCCGTGGTATCGAAAAGTTTGAAGTGGGATGTGGAATGTGATCGGTGATGGAATGTGGTTATAGAATCTGCATCACATGATAATCCGATGTGAAAACTCTCTATCATTGGCGCCCGATTCCTCAAAAGCCAACCAACCACCTTTCGATTCATCCAAATTACTTTCAGTTTTCACGTTTAAAAGTCAAATCCAATTGGCTAGGACAATTAAACTCGCACTGTAACAGCCCAAGCCCACCGCTAGTGGATATTGTCCTCTTTCGACTTTCCCTTTTAGGCTTTCCCTCAAAGTTTTAAAACGTGTCTGTCAGGGAGAGGTTTCCACACCCTTATACGGAATGCTTTGTTCCTTTCTCCAACTAATGTGGAATCTCACAATCCGCCCCTGTAGGGGCGCAGTGTTCTTACTGGCACAGTGCTCAGTATCTGACTCTGATACCATTTGTAACAGCCCAAACCCACCGTCAGTAGATATTGTCCTCTTTGAGCTTCCCCTCAAAGTTTGAAAATGCGTCTGCTAGGGAGAGGTCTCCACACCCTTATACAGAATGCTTCGTTCCCCTCTCCAACTGATGTAGGATCTCACAATCCACCCCCTTGGAGGCCCAGCGTCCTTGCTACACACTGCCCTGTGTCTCGCTCTGATACCATTTGTAACCGCCCAAGCCTACCACTAGCAGATATTGTCCTCTTTGAGCTTTCCCATCTGGGCTTCCCCTCAAAATCGCGTCTGCCAAGAAGAGATGTCCACACCCTTATACGTAATGCTTCGTTCCCCTCTCCAGCTGATGTGGGATCTCACACGCACTCTTCTATATGTAGTTTTTGTATGACAATAAATGTTATATCGGTATTTATACGAGTAACACGTATACGCACATTTGGAAATAACCCTACAATAATCTGCAAAAATGGCTTGATTTGTTGTACAGAAATACCACTTGAGCCATCACTTCAGGATCCAAACTCTAGGCTTTGGAATTACTTCATCACTATGGGACAGAGTGTTTGGAACATTTCCTCCACCTTCAAAAGTAGCTGAGAAAACAAGATGATCCACTTCTGCAGGTCTTAGTTTATCAGTAAATATAGCTTATGACTGCAACTTACTCTTAACTCTTTCTCAAAATTATTCTTTGTTCTTGTGCCTATTTACTGCTTAACTCTCTGTTCATGTCGTGTGGCGTTGTCGTCGGGATGGTGCGAAACTGCCGAGTCTCATCTTTCCAGTGCCTTGGATTGTATTCTATCCTGCCATGATAGCTCTGTGTAACATGGATCAATATGTTCTAATATATAGTATAGTTTTCCTATGGTAATTTTTATGTGTTCTTTGCTATGAAAAAGTCGATCGGTTTGACTCTTGGTTGTGAGATGTGTATAAGTCGATCAAAACGCTTAATATGCTATTATAACGGTCGTTGAAAAAATTTATTTTGTTTTAGGTATCTTACGAATAATGAAATGTATTGAACAAAGGAGGTGTACGTCGGTTGATCGACGTCGTTTTAGGCTAAAATCGATATTGACAATTGGCTTGTTGGTTTGCATTAGTGTCGGTTGATCGTTTTGGCCTCGAACATTGTGGATAGTACATTAATTACTATGAAGGAAAAGTATTATTACTAAAATGTCAAACATGACTAGAAAGCATCCGGGTCTATGCTTGCTAATCGAAGAAGCCATAGAGAGCTATTCCACCGAACACGGGAATGAAGATTGCTGATTGAAATGTGTGTAAATGAGTACAAATGCACGCTATCAACAAGTAAAAATTCCGAAAAATTACATTTTTTTTATTTTTGTGTATTTAGATTTTGAATTAAAAAAATTTAAAAGGTATAATTATATGTAAAAAAAGCAATGACTTTAAAAATATATTTTTCATGTTATGAATACAATTTTTTTTTTTTTGTAAAAAAAAAAAAATACATAATATAATATATTACTAGCTATATTACACAATAAAATAATAATTATACTATATTTTTAATGTATAATAAATAAAATTTTATTTCCGATATATTATAAAATTAAATTGAAATCCAATTTCTGAACGGGGTTTATACTATGAAATTACTATTTTATCCCTGAAGAGAAACCCTGATTTCCATGTCTTCTTTCTCCACTCTCGGCCCACGGCTTACTCTACCAATGCTGAAACCGTGGCCACGATGACCGCTCCTGATTACCGGGCGACGGCGACGGTGACGGGAACTTCAGAAAACGGCGAGTACCAGAGACGACATTGATCCTTATGCATGGTGAGAATGGAAGAGCAAGGTGGCTGTGGTGCCAGCAGAACTAGAGCAGAGGAAAGGGGAAACTGATGGTGAGTACATTAAGCGGCTTTAAACATTTGCAGAGAAGCAATGCACCGAGATTAGGTAAAAGATTGATATGATGCTTATATTCTTTGTCACTAATTCTTAAATAATCAATAAATTTGGAATGCTTCTGTAGGATACTACTATTGCTAGTCTGTTTTTGTCGAACCTTTAGGAACAGAACTTATATAAACTAAGGAAGCATTAGTGGCTTACTGTGTGTTATTACTATCTGTGTTTGAGCGAAATTTCGGGATCAAATTTTTAGTAGCTGTTTTTAGATGCGAGTGAAAATTTGTCTCCCTCCATTTTCCGGCAAGTTAGAATTTGCTAACAAATTGTCGTGTGTAGACTAAGTTCTAGATCTACATGCTCTTTGCATATTTTGATATCTGCAAAAGCAAGTATAATTTAATCTTCGTATTTCACAATATGTAGACTGAAATATGAATGTACATGTAATCCGATCCCTCTACCTTCTCCATTTCTGTAACTTTTTTGGTATAAATGCATCTTTGGCTGAGGAACTCTCTAAAGCTGGAGGGAGCGAGAAAAGAATATGTAAAATGGGATTTGCCTTGCATTTTTTTTTTCTTTTCATCTTCTGTGCTTTAATGGAAGTCATTTGAACCTTTGAACCTGTTTTATTTATTTATTTATTTATGTTATTGTTAGTAGCTAAATTTTTGCCTTGTGAAAAGTGAGGAAAAAAAAAATTGTACAATGAGGATTTGTCTTGATCCTTTTATTTCGTTTGATCTTTCTTGCTTTGTATTGTGTTATTTGAAACATTTCATTGTTTTTTATTGCCTTTGAACTTCTGTTTTGATGGTTAGTAGATAGATTTTGGTCTAACTTGAGGTTGTGAGGAAAAAAAGAAAAAAAAGAAGAAAAAGAAAAAAAGAAAAGCAGAATGTAAAATGGGATTTTGCCTTGTTTTTTCTTTGTTCTTTTGATCTTTCTTACTTTATTTGAAGTCATTTCAAACACATCATTTGTTATTAAGTGCCTTTGAACTTGTTTTTTTGATGGTTAAATAGATTTTGGCCTTATGAGAAGCTGCTAGAAAAAAACAGAATGTAAAATAGAAAATTTTCTTGCATATAGATATACATTTCTTTTGATCTTTCTTGCTTTATTTGAAGTCATTTGGAATGTCTCATTGTTATTGAATGCCTCTGAACATCTCGTTGGTCCTTTGCTTCATCTCTCCACATCCATTTTGGATTACCAGGACACATTAATCGTTGTTTAAAGTGGTCAATTTTGAAGTCCCGTTAGGTGGTTCTTGTGAAGCAGTTTCTTTTTGAATCATCGTTGATTGGTAGTGACTTGCTAGTGTCTTTCCCCCTTTTTTATGGAAACAAACTTCTTCATATAGCAAAATTCATTATTGTTTGTGGTCAATTTTTTGACATTTATGTTAGATATATTTGTTTAAAACTTTGTGTCTATGAGATTTGTAGGATATTTTTCATTAATCTTTATGTTTTAAGCAAGGTTGGGCATATTTGTTTTGAAACTTTGTGTCCATAAGATTTGTAGGATATTTTACGGGGAGTGGTTTTGTATTGACTTCAAGGTGTTGCTACGAGTAAAGATACAGCAACTAGTTTTAAGGTGGTCTAATTCCTAATCCAAAAATTCCAGCCACTTAAAATTAAGATATGTTTTTTATTTATTTATTTATTATTTTTTTATTTTGCACTTTCTCACAGCGAGAAAGGTTTGAACAAGATTCTAACACTGTAAAATTAATTGGTGGAATTTTCTTGCATTTTGTGGTGAGAAAAAGGAAGCCATTATGTTAGCCATTGTAAAACGTTGTAAGAAAAGATATTGCACAAAAAAAAAAAAATATTAATATTGCAAATCAAACTGCATAGAGATGAGAGCATTGTTTTCAAACTGCAAGGCACACTCTAAGACGAAAAGCTTCTTAATTGCCTTAGAGTGAGTGGCGACAAAAAGGAGATGTGGTGTTGTGTCTGAAGGAACTTATCATAGAGTAAGACAAGGTTGAGCTTGATTGAAGTTGTTCGCCCTGGCCTGAGTGTTTGAGCTGGCCTCAACATTACCAAAATGTAAGTAAAAGAGAACCTAATCTAACCCAAAATCTATAATAAAAATGTAAAACCTTATGTATAGACAAGAAAGAAAAAGAGCACTCGAAATATAACAAAAATACAAGTAAAATATAACAAAAATGTAAGTAAAATAGAACCTAATCTAATTCAACTATGGAATGAAAGTAAGAAAACCTAAAATATACAACAATGTAAAACCTTACCTATTGACGAGAGGATACTTGATTGAAACTAGCGAGATGGGAGAGTGAAATGAAAAAATCCAGTTTTTGAACAGAATGAGGGTTTTTACTTGAAAGCGGAAAAATAGGGCAAAATAGAACTTTCATAAGGTCAAAAAATCCTGTTACACAACAACATAACTATCTTAAATCTCTTTAGCCACTCTATTTTCCTAGAAGCTAATGCAAATTTGTTGTTCAATTTTGCTTGCTTTATTTATAACTGCAGAGAACAATTTTTAACCGACTACCATGCCTTCTGCGTAGATGATCTGAGATGGAGTGGAGAATGTTGCGCTGGAGAGGAGAAAGTTGATGGCAGTACTTCCTCAACTAAAGTTTTATTCAAAAACTTGAAACTACCATGTGTGAAGAACTTGTTTTATAGGATTTCATTGCACTCAGTACTAACGAGTGGGTGATTACTGAACTAATGCTACTGATTGAAGCTGTGATATTGCTATTCTTCAGAACTTCCTCGAAAAATTTTAGCTTATGGGTTTGTAAGAGTTTGAGTGTAGCAATTCAATTGTTCTTAATTTACCCTTTTTCTTTTACGGACATTTGGCAATGGTTGGGGATGTTGTATCCAAGCCTGAATCGTCTAATTCCTGCTGTAAAGTGGTAAGACTTTCTTTCTTTCTTCTTCTTTCTCTTTTGCTTTTTTGTGCTTTGTTGATTGTATTTCACTTCATTTCGTTGTGGCTGTTATGGGTGCAGTGGAAAGATATGTACACAAAGCTTGAAGAGAAGAGAATTGCTCTACGTCAGGCAGTCAAGCTCCTTGAGGAACAAATCAGGAAGATTCAGGCGGAGAATCTTAATCTTAAAGAGGGTAGAAACCCAACCATGATGAGTTTCCTCTGCCCGCTTTTATATGTTGTTAGAATGAGATTTCTTTTAGCAGGCTGGGTCTGGGTATTGCAGAAAGGATATTTGTTTATGGTAGAATTTGTGGTTGTTCTGGCAACACTAAAATGGAGATGTGACATATCGCTAGTTGAAACAATCAAACAAACGTTAACCAACACAAGAAATTTGTGTATCTTTCTCTAAGTTGTGCTAACTGGAGTAGATTTTTATCATCCAATCAGGTCTAATTTTTTTTTCTTCCCTGTGATTCATTTTTCTTAATTGTTTATTAACAGACGAAGGACACTAAGTGTGTAATTCCTTGCCTTTATTTCTTTTGTTTTTAGTGGTTTTACTTAAGACGTAGATTTGTTTTCAAGCTTTATACAATGAAAGAGTTATTCTTCTCGAAATATGCATCAATTTGGTTTGTCACCTTGCGCCTTGCCCTAAGAACGGAGATAAGTTCTTTTTGTTTAGCTGTTGAGCATGTGGATTTTAAAAGAAAGGCTATACATTGTTGATGTTATTTCATTTCTTCTTCTACTTCTAATGTTGATAATTAATGGGTGTAGGATATGAAAAGGAGAAGGCTCGAGCTTCTATTGAGAGAGAGAGCAAAGACAAAGAATCTGCTATAAGAGTCTCTTTAGAGAGGGAAATTTCGGACCTCAAATCTCAAATTTCTTCATTGAGACAAAATGATGTAGAGGCAGTTAATGTTCGTGGAGAAGTAGATCATCTTAATGTTCTTGTTGCTGAGGGTAAGAAGAAAATTAGCCAACTAAAAGAACTTCTAGAGACAGAGAAGAGAAGGACAGATGCTGAAAGG